TTTCTACAATATTACCAAAGTAGTTCATTTATTTTTACATTTATTATATAAGTAGGAAGGTATCATATGTATTTATAGTGTATATATTTATGTAATATTTTATTATATATTTTAATATTTTATTTAACTGTGTATTATAATATTATTTAGCTGTATATTTGTTTGTGTATTAATAATTGTAGTACTTCAGCTGCCCGTTAACGAAATGCTTTCTTACTGTACTGGGTTGACTGGAAGAGATCTCTGCAAGTGATAAGTCCACCCTTGCTAACAACATTTATAAATACATTATTTTAAATGTAACTTACAAGTGCAATAAAGAATATATATATCAGTGATGATTTTTTATTATTAATAAATATTTTATAGGTTTACTTCTATTTCAAATTACTAGAGGGAGACTTTGTACAGAAGTCGTTTGTTTTAGTGTTTCTACCGTGAAGCAGTTGTGTTTACGTGGCTGTGCTTCAGTTTGAAGGGTGGGATATGGTAGTGAATTTACAGGCTACAGAGGCGTAACACCTTAGTTCTCAGGAATAGCAATGCATTGGTGTATCATGGAGAAAACAGTACACTTTATTATGTCCATAATACTGTTCATGTCTATAGGTGACGATCACTACCTTTCATCAGATGGGCCATCAGATTTCTTGTTATTCTAAGTTGCATCAAAAAATTATAAATTGTCTACTGTTTTTATAATACGTTCATATTTTTTTTTATACAACTTAGAATGTCAAACAAGCTGACGGCCCACCTGATGGAAAGTGGTAACCGTCGCCTATAGGCATGAGCAGTACCATGGACATAACAGAGTATGCTGTTTCGCCCATGATACCCTCCATGCGTTGCCATTCTTAAATACTCAGGTGTTATTCCTCTGTACCCAGTAAATATACGACATATCCCACCCTTCAAACCGAAACACAGCCATGCAAACACAACTGCTTCACGGTTGAAACACGAATGGGACAGAGGTACCCAAGCAATCGACTTTTGTACAAAGTGTCCCTCTAGTAGATGATATTACTATAATATATTCATAAATTAAAATAATGTTGTACCTAGGCTCACGTAGTATTTTGGAATCACATCATAATGGATATTGTTTGTAACAATATCGTTGTAGGTTATGATGAAATAAATATATAAATATTTAATAAGGAAACGAGTTTTAAGGTCGTAGCTAAATAATTAAAATGAAAGTTATGTAATCATATCTGTTTGTCTGTCAGTTTGTAATAGGAATATAATAACTAACATAGTTTGTCCTATAATTTCAGGAAGATTAGGAGAGCAATTTTATAGTATGTAGCAATCATCAAGGTAAAATAAAAATTACTAGAACCTTATTTAAAGAGTCTTCTATTAGTGAAAATGACTATATTTCCCAAAAAGAAACATGCTTTCAAAATTGGTTATGAATGTAGAATCTCTCATGTTGACACGGCGAATCGATCAGCTAATTTAGTATGGGAGACATAGATGTAGCTCAAGTATATCAATGCCTGCATACTAAGTTGACTGACTCATCATTGTAGACTCTAGAGTCTCTAATAAAAGAATATACAGGGCTCTCTCTAGAGAGAGAGCCCTATATATTATATATATTACATAAGGGTCCTGGTGACTTGTAGTACAGGTTTAATACCTAGTACAGGCACCAGCTCCCACAAATAATATTGTTAAAATGTTTTGCAAGTTATAGATATAATAAGTCCTTAATTATTTGTGGTGAGAAATAATAATAAATAAATAAATAATAAATAAATTATTTTACTTCTCAAAAGAATTTAATGAAAGTTTAGAATAAACATATGAATAATTGATTCGATTATTAAAACTGTCTGCTGATTTTTAATAGTATTCTATTGTATCAGCCTTTAACTGTCCATTGCTGAACAAAACTTTCACTATAAAGGTTTTGCTGGTAGTTGCCACACTTGATAAGCGGATTGGCAACTGCAGTGGGATTTAGGTGAAGTTTTAAGAGGGACGCTGCTGCTCATCTCAAATCATTAACTTCCCTTACTCGCCTCTGACGATACCTACGGGAAAGGAAGTCGTGACCCATTCTATGCTGGGACCACACGGCAATACACTTATTATAACGGTAGCTATTCAATACTAGTATAGTATAGTATACAAATAAAAAATAATTGATTGAATGTATTAATTCGTTACTAATTTCATTAGGAGATCGTTTCTGTGATGTTTCAAGAAAACTTGGTTAATTTTTCATTAAAGTTCCATTGAAATGAACTATACAATGTTCTTTATATTATTATTATACTGTACGTCTTTACGCTGCCTCCTCATTACTTTGTAGGAAATTAGTATTTCGTTACTTGACAATTTGGAACATTTAAAAGTTAATAAGATTTTGGCTTCTGAAAACGACAAGCGGATATTAATCAACATATTTGCCAATCTTTATAGTTGTGAGGACCGTAATTGATAATAATATACTACACGTGTAGAGTGGCGCCCTCTGATGTCAATACATTGTATTGGTTAATAAAGGAACGGTTGGTATTTAATTGGAATGAATACAAACTGCCTAAGAAATTACAACTATTGTTTAATATTTAGTTACCCAAGCATGTAGATTTGTTTTTTATACAACTTAGAATGGCAAACGAGCTGACGGCCCACCTGATGGAAAGTGGTAACCGTCGCATATAGACATGAGCAGTACTATGAAAATAACAGAGTATATTGTTTCGCCCATGATACCCCCCATGCGTTGCCATTCCTGAGGACTCAGATGTTATTCCTCTGTACCCTGTAAATTTCTTCCACAAAAAATGAATACTGTCTTTAATCACGATAACAACTACTGAATCGATTTTGATGAAATTTCTTTGAGATCAATACTACAAAATACAATAGAACCTCTTCCTTTTTTAAAAGCTTATTAAAATAGTGACTTCAATAACGTTGAAATAAATATAGGATTAACATGAGAGCAAGCTCTATTGATTGTAGAAAAAATCAATATCAGTTAGAGATTTACGACGATATCGTGTAATATATAAACAAACAAAAATGGATTGAGAACCCCCTCGTTTTCGGAGATGATTCATAAACAATAAGTGATGAATAAGAATAACGATCACATTACATTTTATTTCATCACCGGCTGATAAAACTGTTAGAGATTGTACGTTGTTCATTTAAAAGAGTAGTGCCGCGTTCGTATTTATATATTATCATTAAAAGCTTCAACTCCCTCCAATGTCTTAAGGTCTATTCTTCTTTACCCATCTGCGATAGATTGTATTACTTCTTTTTCGTACTTATTTACAATGTTAATTTTAATTTTACAGGTTTTTCTCTAAAAAAAAAATTAAAAGTTATAATTAAGCAAACACCCAAAGTAAGTTGACTCGAAGTGAGTTTTTTTTTTGGTCTGGGACAGTTTATGATCTTTTTGACCCCAAGTTCCCGTTATCGCAACAAAACAGAACTATGGTTGGTTTGCGTCGTAAAAAACTCATGAAATGTTACTACGATAAGCTCTAATCTTAATTAACGTGCCGGGGAAAAGGAATATTGTTCACAATGCACAAAGGTCGACTCTGTCGCTTTTCGCCTTTAATCTGCCTTGCAGTTTGAAACTAACAATTTCCATGAGAGAATTGTATAAGATCGCATTTTGAACTTGATCAATAATCATCTAGATAGACTCTCTAGAAATAGCGCGACGTAAATATCCCGACTTTCATTTAAAGGAGTACAATTAGGAAGGTCTACTATCGTAATAATTAATTTGTATTTTTTTGTGTACTTGCCAAGCGTGGCAACTAGTGGTATAATCAACTAGTGGCAAATAATAAGGAATGGCCTATATCCAGCAGTGGATGGTTAATGACTGATATGATGATGATGATTTAATGTGTAATATTAAAAAAAATATGTCATAAGAGACAATACATAGTTGCATTTATAAAATGTGTGGAATTAAGAACTATGTAAATATGTTTTTGCAAAATAATTTGATTGATTAATTTTGTAACTGATAACTTTTAATATGTGAGCCGTCATTTTAACTTATAATAAATAACCAGGAACCCGCTTGAGCTTCGCGCGTTTGCAATTATGTACTTGTACAAAAGTTTAATTGGTGTACCGATTCTTATACATACATATAAAAATATCTATATGACAGTGAAATCCGTATCCAAATATCGTTATATGGTTTGGAAGTGGAGAAACAGACAGACGCTGAGAGCGACTTTGTAAGTATTTAATTTAGAAATACTCGATTCTTATGTTCATTACAATGGCATTGATCGATACTTCTACCTACGCCATTAAGTATTATAGTCGTGTGTATATTTAATATTTATTTAGAATTTTGTATTTGTATGAAAAAATAAGTCATCAGTCAATAGTTGATTGTTTTTTTTATATATTTATTCTTTATTGACAACATTTACAAAAATATATACAAAATTGAACTTAATGTTATATCATTATTATTTCAAGATACAGTGATTATTTTTGTAACTAAGACTTATTATATTGTGTTAGTAAAGCACCAACTTAAAAATACCTTTATATTTTATTAGAATAGAAGAATAGAATAGAAACATTTATTGCCAGTAAACTTACAATATAAAATATAAATGACATATACAAAAAGTGTCCCACACCCGGCAAAAGGAACCGGCTCAGCGGATGCTGTGAGTGTCCCAGCGCAATGTGAACAGCTACACAGCGCTGGTTTTCAGCCAGTCCCTCTCTTATAAAACAACCAAAGTGCAGGGTACCACTGTACATTACTTTTTACAAGAATTATTTCTTGATACTAGTTAAAAAAAAATACTAATATATATATACACACACATACATACACACACACATATACATATACATACATACATACACATATACATACATACATACACATATACATACACACACACACATACATACACACATACATACACATATACATACACACATAAGTAAAATATCATATTGAGGATCAGATACTACCGATAGTTATGTTCTCCTTTATTTTGTTTCTCCAATAGTACTCGTTTTAGTCTATATTTGAAACAGAGCTGGGACATTTCCTCGTGGAGAGGCGGAGGCAGATCGTTCCAAATTTTAGCCGCGGAGAACTTAAAACTTCCTCTGTTTGCCGACTTCCTATGTATAGGTAATGATAACCCGCTGCCACTCTTGCTACGTGTATTAAGAGGATGTAAATCTCTCATCCAGGTGAGTTTGTTATATAGATACTCTGGTTTCTTTTTTTGTATCACTTTATACACCAGGCATGCAAGATGTAGATGTCTCCTTAGGTCTATTATTCCTTTTTTATTTAAAATAGGAGTTATTCGTGTTCGCCTCGGAATATTGTAGCAGAAACGTGCGCATGCGTTTTGAACCCGTTGCACGGAGTGAGCGGTTCGCGCTAGAAGTCTAGGCCCATACACTGTGTCACAGTAGTTGAAATGTGACAAAACCAGTGTTTCTACAAGTGTCACCCTTACTTTTTCTGACAGGCAGTCCCTCAACCCATAAAGCACTTTCAGTTTATAAAAAGCATTTTTTATTTTCATGTTTACATGTTCCTCGTACCGCAAAGCGCTATCCATCATGAGCCCAAGATTCCTCACAATACTCACTCTTTCCACTGGTTGGCTATCTATCACAATATTAGGATTGTGTTTTATCACCAAGTCACACTGGTGTCGGGGACCCAACACTATATATTGCGATTTCTTAGGATTCAAAATCAGATTGTTACACGCCGCCCACTTAAATAATTTATCAAGGTCCTTGTTAATTAGTTCGATGGCCTTGTCAGTGTCATTTGCAAAAAATGAGAAGTACAACTGTGTGTCATCAGCATATAAATGTACCTTACAGCTTTCCACTTGTTTGTGCAAATCTGCAGTGTACAATATGAACAATAACGGACTGATGATAGAGCCTTGAGGCGTCCCTCTGTCGATTTGTTTCATTTTTGACTGTAAATCTTCCCCATGCGCTCCCTCTATTATTACATATTGTTTACGATTTTTCAGATACGACTCAAACCACTCCAAAGCACCTGTGGAAATACCGTAGTAAGACATTTTTAACAGTAACAGCTCTGTATTTAAACAGTCAAATGCCCTGGTGAAGTCCAATAATACTAAAACAGTACACAAGCCCGCGTCAGCTGCTGTAATTATGTCATCAGTGACATGCGCTAATGCTGTGTCTGTTCCGCACCCATTTCGAAAACCCGATTGTATAATTGGCAGTATTTTTTCATTTTCTAAATAATTGGTCAGTTGCGTACGCACTACACTTTCAATAATCTTTGACATGACCGGGAGAATACTAATAGAGCGTAAATCTTTGTAATCCTCTATTGTTTTGCCTTTCGGTAACGGTCTAATCTTTGCTAATTTCCATTGATCAGGAAAAATTTTAGTTTTTATTGAAGTGTTTATGATAGTAGTTATTACCGGAAGGGTATTTGGTAAAGTCATACGTAGCATTCCCGCCGTGATGTTATCGAAACCCGCTGCTTGTGTCTCAATGCCATTCAATATTTTTAAAACCTCACTTTCGCTAATTTCTTTCAGATTAAATACAGCGTCACTATTCTTATTATTACTGAAATATTGGTACGTATTAACATCAAGCACTGAGCTTCCTGGCGTATTCAAAAAATAGTCATTAATATCATCCGGGTTTCTCAGGTTTATAGGTAAGTCAGGCACACTTGTATTTCCTAGAGATGAGTTGCGTTTTAAGTAGGTCCACATTTTTTTTGGATTTTTTACATTTTTATTTATATAATAATTGAAAAAAGCTTTTTTTTCTCTTTTAATGAACTATTTACAAGATTTCGCATTTCTTTGTAATAGTTATAGTGGGATTCTAATTTAGTAGATCGAGCTCTTTTTAATGCAGCATCACGCAAAGACATCATTAACCTAATGTTGTCAGTCAGCCATGGGGTAGATTTATCCTTAATATATATACGACGAAGTGGCGCGTGTTTGTCAAATAGTTCAGTAATTAATTTATTAAAACGCTCCACTATTTCACCTACATCAGTACCTTCAATAACATTGTGCCACTGCATAGACCTGAGATCCCGCAGGAACTCATCTTCATTAATTTTATGTAGTGACCTTGTAGTGATGGTTTTTTTCCTTTTAATCATTACTTTAAAGTTAAAACTTGATATTACCATCGCATGGTCACTTAACTCAGGGTTATGGTGAACATTAATCGCTTTACAAAGCATGGGAGAGTCTGTTATTATCAGATCCAACAGTGTTGCAGTTCGATCTGTTATTGTTGGCTCCCTAACAAGTTGCTCAAGATTGTGTTGAGACAGTACCGTCAGGAGTGTTTGCGCTGAATTGCTGCTGGTGGTCATCATATCGATGTTAAAGTCACTTAGAATTACAAGATGGTACAATATGAAAATGTGCTTACCGAGTCGCTCAGTGCATCCACCGCCTAGGTCGCCTCAGTTCTGTATATAGTTCCTATGGCGATTCGTATCCCACCGGGTAAAGAGACCTCCAGCCACATCTGTTCCAATTTCGACAGTGGATGCGGACGCACACGCACACGAAGGTCCCGTCGTATATAAAAGCCCACTCCTCCTCCTCTCTTGCCATTTGGCCGAGGTGTATGTTTAAATATGTATCCCGATATAACCGGCGCTCCAGATTTCTCTCTATTTGTTATCCAAGTTTCATTTAATGCTAATATATCCGGACTATACCTCTCCACAGAATATATCAGTTCATCCTTACCGGTATTAAGTGACCTTACATTCAGGTGTCCCAGTATTAAACGGTTACATTTTCGTTTATCCATCTCCATTAATAAGTGTATAAATTCTATTTATAACTTCAGTATAATTAGGTATGTGATCCTCAACGTTAAATTTAACAGTAAACAAATTATGTGAAAAATATATACAATATCTCGTCAAAAATATAATAGATATAAAAAAGAATTGACAATATATTAGATATAAAAAACAATTTCCACACATATCATAATAATAAATAATAACTAATTTTAGGGACATCCTTCTAAAAAAATGTTTGGTATATCATTAATCCGACGAATGCTGTGAATTTGTTTTCCTTCCCTTTCACGCGCCATTATTTTTCCGTTTTTAGTCCATACATACTTCCAACCATGTTTCCTAGCCTCTTCTTTTACCTTAATAAATAAATGTCTATTTTCTTTTGTTAATCTATCATTAATATAAACCGGTTTTGCGAGAGACATGTCAGCTGTGGTGATTGAGCGTCGCGTACGTGCTGCCTGTATTAGACGGTTCTTGATAGTTTGACGAGCAACCCGCACCACAATGGGACGGGAGCGCCCATTTTCTCCACCATCAGAAACTATCCGCCGCTGGCCGGTACGATATACTTCTACCACCTCGGTTTCATCCAGCTGCGTTCCCAGTTTCGCCGCAATTAAGCTTATCATATGTTGGAGGTTTTCGCCGTTTTTCTCTGGTATGCCTATAATTTCCATGTCTAATAACATACTATGTTGCTCCTTATCATTCAAATCTTGTTTCAAATTTTCAATTGTCGTTTGTAGTTCTGCAATTTGATCACTGTCTTTTCTCCCAAGTGATTGGAATTGTTCCTCCATCCTATCCATACGTTTAGACATTACCGTAACATCATTTTTATATGATATTATATCTTCTCTTATCAAATTCATCTCCTTCCAAAATTTTGACATTTCCTCCTTAATCGAGTGCAAGTCATTTCGAAACGAACGTATTTCGGATAGAATCTCAGCAATGGGATTTTTTTCTCCTGTTTGAGTAATTATATCAACCGTTGTATCCAGATGTTCCGAATCTGTCCCTGATGTAGCAGGTGATGCGTTGTCCATTATCTTGACGGGTGTATTTGTGTTGTCTTGTCGAGGTTGTTTAACTATACAACACGGACAAATCCATCCCTTAGGAGTAGTGACCTTCGTATCCATAGCAATACACGGTTTGTGATATATTGCTTTACACTTAGTACATGTAGCAACTCCTGTTGTTACCGCTAGGAATTTACCACACGCTCCGCATTTACTCATTTTTATAACGAAACTAACCACTAGATGGCGATATGTATTATACTATTAATATCCACTATAAACGATGTTCTCTTCCAATCCAGATAGCTAATGTGTTTTATATTGGAAAGTTGATACCTTACAGCCCACAGGTCACTAGCACTATCTACAGGCACTATTTACACTTTTACTATTCGGTTAGTGAAGAACACACTCGTATATGTAACATTCACAGTAACAAAAACTGATTATATTTACACAAATTAATAGGTATTAATGGCGGAAAACTCTTTAAAAAATAGAATATATCCCCTATTACTTGATTTTTTCAGAGAATATATATTCTAATGAATTTAATTGAGCACAGCAACGCAGTCAATGTTTACAAGCACAGGGTCACAGTTTATTTACAGTTTATTTACTAGTCAACCTTAAATTGTTTTTTTTTTGCGGCGTTTTTTGACACTCATCATTCCATCTAAATGTGTGTAATCTAAGATTTTGAAATATTCCACTATCTAAAGATTTAGCGTTAATTCTTTATTGATAATCCAACATGTCAATTTGTAAGATCTCGGCTGAATTATGTGTGCCAGGGGACTGAAAAGCGGCGATAAAAGGAGGACAACATCGTTCAGTAGGAAGCTCAATTTGTCGTATTAGAGCTAAATCTCATTTTGATAAGGCGATGCATTAATTACACGGCATTATTAGATTATTTTGCACAAAATGTTTTTAAATATTTTAATTTTATTAATTTATTACCCTTTAACTGTACACTGTTGGACAAAGACCTCCTCCAAGATGGAGTGTTGCTAAATGTTGCCACGTTTAGCAGGTGGGTTCGCAAACACAGGCTTTGGTGATGTTTTAAGAGGAACGTTGCTGCTCAACCCTCGATCATCAAACTCCCTTAATTACCTCTTACGACACCCACGGGATAGGAAATATACTAATCATTAATGCATTATTTATTGATAAACAATCCTTACTAATATTATAAATCTGTAAGTTTGTTTGTTATCTCTTAGCATTTTAACGACTTAACTAATGAATATAAAATTTGGTATTATTTTGTTTGGATCAGTAAACATAACGAATCATTATTATCATCATATTAGCCTTTAACTGTCCACTGCTGAACTCAATCTCGCCCTTGGGAGTTTTACCAGTAGATGCCATACTTGGCAGGTGCATTGGCAACCGCAATCGGGCTTTAGAGATGTTTGAAGAGGGACGCTGCAGCCTATCTGTCGCCCTCTCTCAGTCGGCTCTTATAATACCCACGGAAAAAAAAGGAGTGGCCTATTCTATGCTGGAATCACACAGCATATTAGCATAACGAAGTCGCGGGTAAAAGCTAGTGTAATACAATTATGACGTAATAATTCATGAGTGCGTCGCTCCGCAGTGGTGTACTACCTCGATTCATAAATCGCAGGGCATTAGTTAGACTCTACAGACACCTAAATTAAATTAAATCGAACGACGGTAGCAAGCTCGTCCCTTGCCACAGTAGATTCAAATATGTTCGGCGAAAAATGAGCGAGTCGATTAGTGAGTAAGATAAGTCTACAGTGATAACAGTTATCCTCTGGTCATCCTCTGACCGGTTTTGATTATTAGTCGTGAGTATTTTTTTTATTAATGTAACTAGCTCCGTAGGAGCAATTTAGAAACTTTACTATTGTACAAGTCTGAATAGCTTTCTAAACTTCACGTAATATGTATATATATATTTTTTTAATATTAAAATACTTATAGAAAACTATCTGCATAATATAGAATATTAAGGCTATTTTGTAATTTTAATAAAGAGAAACAATTTCGTTATATATTATTTTGTTAAATTTCAGCATTTTTGATTAATGCTTTCAGTCGACTTGATTTCTTCTGACATCTTGAACAATTACCGTCATATTTCAACAGATTAATACAAAATAATATTAAACTATAAGTAGAGCAAGCTTTACTTCTTGAATCACTGTATCAATTGATGAAAACTGCATTAAAATCTGCATCGTAGTTTAAAAGATATAAGAGTATATACGGCGGGAAGGGACTTTGTTTTATACTAAGTAGAGATACGGAATCAGCGGTAGTTTAGCCACCTCTGAATTTAAATACGTCTTAATAAGAGAATAAATAGTATTATGGACTGGGTGTTTCGGGTCAGCTAATATGCAAGTAATGTCTATTATTTCATGTTCGAAGACTCCAACTATCGAATTCGATTAGTGTAACGGTTGTTACAATTAATATGCTTCGCTGGAACCCAATTAATGCGAACGGACATTCGTGATTGATGCTTGACTTGAAGCAGCTTTGGGTGCATTGATGTAGGGCTCATCGAGCGGCTTGTGGTTTCTCTCCACGTGCCTTCATAATTAAGCGACTCCAAAATGTATTTGTTTCCTGGGGATTTTGATTATGGATAAATAAATACAAGAATATATTTTGCTTAATTCTGCTACAATTAATATGCGTGTAACTGCCAATACTCGAAGATTGACTACTGTTAATATTACTAGAAGTTCTATAACATTCCATATTAGTTATCAATCTCCGACCGCTATTCAGTCCACGCACGTTTTATTATCTTTAGGAAATTAATAGATCACTGCTCAGGGCCCAGTGTTAGCTATTCGGCATCCAAACTGCGATACTAGTTAAAGGTTACAAAAAACGTGTTCCCCATGATACTCTTCATACGTTGTTTTTCCTGAAGGTGTTATGCTTTTGTATCCTGTAATTTTAATCCCATATGTCACCATTTAAACCATGATATAGCTATAAAAACACGTTCTGCTTCACGGTAGAAATACGAATGGGACAGAGGTACCTAAGTAGTTGACTTTTGTACAAAGTCTTTCTTTGATAAAGAAGAAACATGGGTAGAAATAAGACAAAAAATATTGTGCATCCCATACTAACATATTTTTTCTCTTTTGAATTTTTTTGTAACTTGGGTAGATTCTTAATTCTTCATATTTAGATTATTTTATGCTGTATATACGCAATAAAACTGTAACTATACAATACAATACAAATGTCTGTATATAAATAGAACTTGATTCCAATTATAGTCACAGTATGCAAATATAAAATTATTGTACTATTATATATATAACTTAATAATTTGAAAAGAGTAACTGTTGAGTTTCATGCGGATTCTTCTCAGCAGATAACTCGCCCCGAATTCGTCAGTGCAGTTATAAAAATTGACAATTTAAAAGAGTCTGTAAATAAGTCTTTACAACTTAGAATGGCAAACAAGCTGACGGCCCACCTGATGGAAAGTGGTAACTGTCGCCTATAGATAAGAGCAGT